GCTCTCTAACTGTTCATAACAGCAGGTGGAACCCAGTGAATAACCATCCAGCACATCCCATCAGTTGTGAAGTTTGAACATCAAACTTGCATTATTTCATAAAACTTCCGAAAATAATGTATCTTTAATTTCTTAAATTTACTGTTTCAAGGAAAAAAAAAAAAAAGCAAAGAAAAAAAAAGGGAAAAATAAAAAAAAAAGCCCCACCAACCCCAAACCTATAGCTCATAAATCTCCTTTTCCGTCCCCTGCGCCAGGCCTTCGCCGCCGTCTTGCCTTGCACCTGATGATTTATTAACGTAATCTGCGGGGATAACTACCCGGTGTGCCCGGCTCCGGCGTGTCCCAGCTCATCTTCTAAGTAATTGTTTCTCATTAGTTCTGATAATGTTTTAATAGCGTTACCCATAATTTAGTCAGGCAAGAATTAATAACGGGGATGTGGGGAGGGGGGGCAGAGAGATAAGCGTAAGCTTTAATGTGGGGTAGTAGGAGATGTAAGCCTTTTTTTTTTTTTTTTTTTTCCTTTTTTTTTTTTTTTTTTTCCCCGTAAATCGGCCATGGGGGCGGTGAAAAAAAAAACCCAAAAAACTAAAAAACAACTGTTTTCTATTTACGAATTTAAATAAACAGAACAGCCTTCCCCGCGGTGTTTGTCTAAGTGCGGCAGCGTTGCTGCTGTGTAGGTCATGAAAAGGTTGGTGCATAGTTTAAAACTTCCCATTCTGTTAATTTCTTAAAGAACAGTCGTTCATAGTCTGAGCACAAAAGCTCATGATTTAATGAGGAACAGAAACAAAATCTCTGATTGTTGGTGTTTCAAACTTCATTGGAGTCCTCTGGCAACCACAAGTTGATCCTCTGCAGCTTCAATACCCTTTAGCCCTCCATATAAGAGTACATGCTGAATAGAGGACAATGCCTGGTTGTTATGTTTATTTACCCTTACTACAAGCTGGGTTAACCTCTTCAAAACAGCTTTACTAAGCCCGTTAACCACACGGCCCACATGACCTGTAGCCGTATCCCTAATGTGATGTAAATCTGACTCTGAGACCATATGCACCGAGTTCTGCTGCATTGTGTTCTCCGAAAACTACAAGTTTATTGCCGTCCAACCCTTCCCGGGCTGGACGCTTCCAGGAGGAAACACTCTCGACAGCGACCGCGTCAACCACCACCAGAGAAGAAAGTCAAGAGTCCCACGTCGTCGGAGCAATATTTTTAATGGCAGTCACACATTTACAGAAATTTGGGGGTGGGGGGGATGCGAAGCTCACACAGGGCAATGATTTTCATCGCCGTTATTTCAACCGGTGCCTAATTATTGCAGGCTTTGCCCTTTCTGACGGGAGCCCCGCACCGGAGCGGGAAGAAGCGTTAGATAGAAAAAGAAGTGATTTGACCCCGTTTTCATCTGCTCCTTTCACACAGCTCACAGCTCACGTTTGGCTTTTCTCCTTCAGTGAAGTCACAATGCTGCAGTGGTAGCAATTCTCATGATGTCACACGGCCGGTGATGTGACTTCACCGGGGGCTGTGAGCGGTGGTTTGGGTCAGGAGTAGTTTTAGTAATTAGCAATTCTGGCAAGCAAACTATGACACAAAATGGAAAATGAATTTCTGCTTAAGCTTGACGTCTTTAATTTTTTTTTTTTTTTTTTTTCTTTCCCCCAAGTATTATAGTCATCTTTTAAAACAGCTACTGGGGCCCCATGGCGAGAGCTTCATTTACCAGCTCATTTTTTCTTGATGGCTGTGGCAAGCGTAACAATGTTCTGCGCCTGCTTCAGTAATGGCATGTCGATCATGCTCCCGTGGAAAGTAAACGCTCCCTGGAAGAGAGAGAATATAAACTTCCTGAGAGGGACCTCTGGAAATGGCAGTTGGCTTGTCTTTCCCTTTAAAAACACATCCGTTTGGCGAGGAACAGCAGCTCCCCCGGGGAATCAGGAGACAAACTAACTGAGATGGGGCAAAGGCATTTAAAGAAATGTGGCGGGTGCTGAGTGCTCCAAAGAGGAGGCCAAAAGAGAGCACAGGGGGCAGCCCAGCCTCTCTCAGCCTCTCCAGCTGCCAGACACCCAGGGCCAAGAGCAGGCAGGGCCTGTGTGGATGAGGGGGGCTGGCAGACACCCCACCTGGGGGACAGCTCTGCCCCCCTGGCATCCAGCATCACCCTCTGGGGCTGGGGCAGGACTGGGGTGAAGCTGTCCGTGGAGGGAGGGTGAAGGCAGAAGTGTTGCTTCCATCAGGGAACAGCAATAGGGGCTTGGGGTTGGGGGGGAGCTGGAAGGGGAGCTTTCCCAATTTGGGGTGGGTGTGTTGAGGTTGTGCCGTTGCACATCTCCATCAGGAGCTCGAGATGGGCTGGGCCTGAGTTTAGAGCCAGGGGCTGGGATGAAGGCTGGAAAAGCAAGTGGCTGGCGCCATAATATTGCCCAAATCTGCTCCGGAGCCAAGGCAGAGCCCACCTGAGCATATAGGGAATTTGGCCTGGGGAAGATGCAGAACTAGCCAGTGTGCCTCAGCAGCGGTGACCTGAGAGCCAGGGCAGGGTTCAGAAGTCACTTCATATTCATAGCAATTTTGTGTCGGTACCACGGTGAGAAGTTTAAAACCACTAGCTGCGAATGACAGTTAAATCTTAAACAGAAGACACGTTCTAAATAGGGCCAAACTGGACTTGTTTCTTTGGATGCTTTAATCCGCACGTGTTGCTCACGTAGGATTTTGAAGATAAACCACTGTGCACCAAGTCAGGCCAAAGTTCAGCAGACAAAAAAAAATAAATATAAAATCTTAACTTGTAACTCTGACTGTAACTTTGACCCATTCTTGGGAAAAAACCCCAACACGAAGATGCAGTCCCTCCCCTGGAGAATTCGGCACGGAAGGCCTGGCCCCAGCGATGTGCAGGGTGTCTCTGTGCAGGGTGAGGAGGACGGCGGTGTGGGTGGCTGTGTGTGCAGAGCAGGGAGAGAAAGGCAGAGGGGAACAAGACGTTTGCTGTTTTCTGGTTTTCATTTAAAGCTTGATAATCGTTAAATAGAGGACTCTAATAGGTAAAGTGAAAATCCAAGCCGTTTACAACAACGTTTAGGAAATGTGTTGCTCCAGTGATGCATCTACCTTCACTGAAGCACTATTAATTACATACTAAATCACATTCTAAAACAGCTAAGACAAAAATCCACCTTAAACAGTAATCTAATACAAATCAATATTGTTGCATGTAAGAACAGGCTGTATTAAAGCCATTAAAAACCTAATAGTTGAAAATATTATTTTATTCTAAGTGAGATTTTCTACTGTAGCTTGCAGTATTTCAGGTGGGTTTGGAGAATAATGGGACTGATGATACTCAACAGTAGATGCTTCAAATCTAATTTCGTGTTTACAGAGCAACCAATCAACGCTACATTACCCCAACAACAACATTATTATTATTACTATTATAAATAATAATACACCACTTCTTATCTTAGCAAAATGTCCGCTATTTTCACTTTACTTTTAAACCTTTGCAGAAAATCCAGCCTCAAACTATTCAATTTATTAACTGTTGTGAAAATAAATTGGGAACTAAGTCAACATTTTATGACACAGGACTTCTTCAGAATAATTCAGGCCTATGCAAGTTAATGCAAGACATTTTTTTTCACTGTGAAAAAAACGTGTTTTAATTAAGGCTGCTTTTCTGCGAGCACTCAGTCAAGTAATAGCTATTTATTAAAAGAGAAATCTGTATGTGGGGTGACAGTGATAAGTAGAGATATGTTAAGGTCGGGAATCATTCTTCCTGGTTTTGTGATACGGTTGACTTAGGAGCACAGTTATCCCAATCACCTGCAATAGCTGGCAGAGCCTGCTTTTCCGTGAGCATTCAGTCAAGTAATAGCTATTTATTAAAAGAGAAATCTGTATGTGGGGTGACAGTGATAAGTAGAGATATGTTAAGGTCAGGAATCATCCTTCCTGGTTTTGTGATACGGTTGACTTAGGAGCACAGTTATCCCAATCACCTGCAATAGCTGGCAGAAAAAGATGGGTGCCAAAATCATCATGGACCAAATCATGATCAGGAGGGTCTCATCCCTTCCACTGAGCGTACACAGGGTGCTCTGAAGTCAGACACCTCTGCAGGTGCCCAAGTTGCAGCACGATCAATCTGGGTCAGGACGTCTCTTTTAGAAAGCAGGAGTTAATTAAACAGCATGCCTGTACTCTCTTCACTAAAATAACAGGTTTAGAAAGGAAATCAGGATAATAGTATGTGTGTGTGGACACACAAACACTGAGCCACTTGAGATCTGCTGTACATTCTCTTCTTGTCAGCGTGCAGCTGTAGTTTGGGTTGCTAGGAATTTGAATACTTGAAGGAAAAAAATGCTTTTTTTTTTTTTTTCCTCACAGCACAGAGTAACACGAAGAAGTTGGCTTCTCTGCCTGTTCACTCTGAGGCTTATTTTCTCCCTGCTAATTTGCAGCGTTGAGCTAAAGTCCAGAAAAAGAAACTGATTTTAATGCCATTGAATATACTCTATTCACTGCCTCTCTTTCCACCCACAGGTTTCAACAGATAGGAAATACCAGTAATTACAGCTTTGTGCCCATGCTCTCTTTTCCAATTCTGCTACACGAAATTTGCCTTTAGCATTCTTTTGATTTTTCTCTCGCATTAATATAAAGAAAACAAGACTCTCTATAAACACCGTTTGCTTTGATAGCCTTAATCTGGGATTAATTTAGTCATAGATCTAAATTTTCTTTTTGGCTAATTCTTCTAATAATCTCACGCTTCCAGCCTGTACTTAGACTTCCAGTAGCAAAACAGTCGGACCAAAGGTCTGTTCTTAAGGAAACTTGCAGGGTGAACAGGAGTGATGGCAGGTGCCAGGCTGGGCTTTGCATCCGTCGTGTTTGGTGGCTGTGGTTCTGCTTCCCCATATAAATCATTCACTGGGAGTGGTTTTGGAAACCTGCAAAAGGACCCAGCCATCAGGTGAGTCAAAGGTCTCAGACCTGCCCTGGGAAGCATTCAAAGGCTGATGGAGGAGCTGGGAGAAGGAGCAGCTGGGAGGCAGAACCACAGCTGGTGGGTGCAGCCTAAGGAGCAGCTGCGAGGCAGAACCACAGCTGGTGGGTGCAGCCTTCAGGTGCAAGTAACTTGGGTGAGATGTGAAGTGGGAGGACAACGGTGGTACCCACCAAATAGCAGGCTGGGAAGGCAGCCCTTCTGAGGAGTGGGTGGCTCTGTGGGCCATAGACATCACCCCCGTTTTAAGTGATGCAGCGCATATTCTGATGTCCTGTGCCATCCTTCATGCAGCAACACACTGCAGGTGCCAAGGGCAAAGCCCTGTGAGAAACAGGGTTCAATGGGGCTTTGAGCAACCTGGTCTAGAAGAAACAGGGTTGGATGGGGCTTTGAGCAACCTGGTCCAGTGGGAGGTGTCCCTGCCCATGGCAGGGGATTGGAACTAGATGATCTTTAAGGTCCCTTCCAACCTAAGCCATTCTATGATTCTATGACTTTGGCATCCCCTGGCGTGTGGGGCATAAGAGCTGTAAGGGCTCTTTGGCTGGCCTAGGCTTTGGCATCCCCTGGTGTGTGGGGCATGGGAGCTGTAAGGGCTCTTTGGCTGGCCTAGGCTGTACTGCTGTGAAGGCAGCACAACAGAGCAGAGGGGTTTGTATCTGCACAACCTTTGGTTTCCCTCAGCCTGGTTGCTGTATGCCTCTGTCAGAGCAGGCTATCAGGGAGAAAGCAAGGAAGAAAGGTGGACAGGCAACATTTCCCACTTGGGTCCTCCTACAGACTAGCTAAGGGTCCTTCCCAGTTGAGCTACAAGCAAGGAAAGGCTTTCCTTCTGGATAGTTCTGTGAGAGCAGAGCAAGAAGAAGGTAGCAGACCCATCCAGCTCGTCTTCTCTCCTCCTGGTTACTGCAGCTGCCCGCAGAGCCCACCAATTTGTCATTTCCCCATCTCCATTTCTTGTATCTCAGACCACCTTCTCCAGGCTGAACGATGCAGGACCAGCACTGTGCAATTTGCTGCATCCCCCAGGAACCATGTAGTATTTGAATGCAATAAATTCACAATGACATTTAATGCTCCGTTAAAACAGTAGTAACATTTTAAAAAATGTAACAGCTATTTATGCAAGATGCAGACCATGCTGAGTAAGGTCTTAACAGCTCTACTTTGAATTTCAATATGTCCTAAAGTGCTTTGAGAATGGAACAGAGAAGGCTTTTGGCAAATATAGAAAACAGCTGGAAGGGAATTAAAATTATAGAAAGCTGAGAGGTTGGTTCTTTTTTTTTTTTTTTTTTTTTTTTTTTTTCCAGATGGGAACAGCAAAAAATGATAGGCTAGGAAAAAAGAGAATTGAGCATGGTCAGCCCCAAGTGACACAAAGATCCAGCCCACAGACAAGAGAAGTGATAAGGCAGAGTTGAGAGAGAACAGTCATTTTCACAGGTCAGGAGCTTACGATACAGGCTCATGAAAAATGGGGGCAAATCAAGTTGTACAGTAGAAATAACTACTGCAGTAAGTTTCCAGGTGGCTGTGGAGAGACAGAAGAGATGCAGAAACTGTAACACATCAGTTTGCCAGAGCTTACGCCTCTACCTTATGCTCCTCCTTTTGGATAAATACAGCCACTACCAAATATGACTCAGATGTAGCCAAGTTCAACGTATAATTGAGGGCTCTTCTTTGACAACTTAGAACACAACATGTTGTCATGGATCTTGGACATGGCTCTTGTCATACCTATATGTCATCCTTAAGGAATTCCTTTACCTATAAGTAATGACACGTATC